AGTGCGCATGAGTGAATAATGGGGCGAATGCACGTCAATCAACCAACGCATGAATCTCTCCATATCACACAAGCGGCAATGGGATGGCACACTTGTGTGTACATGTGCACAGAGCACCACCGTCAAAAAAATTCACGTGAATTGCCGCAGCCAAAAAAAAAAAAAAAAACAAGCGGCACGCACAACAAAACAAAAAAAAAAGGGAAAGAAAGTCACACACACACACACACACAACAAAAACAATTTCTTTCTTTTTCTCACTCCTTCTCTTTCTCTTTGTTTTTTTCCTTCCCGCCCTCCCCCCCCTCCCACGCACAATTGCAGGCATCCCACCACACACGTGTGAATGACATCGTGCGCCAATACAAGTGGATGTGAGAACCCTGTGAGTATCCTCCGGCGTTCGTGCACCAAAAATTAAATAAACAAAAATGCAAAAGTAGAAGTAAAAAAAGAAAGAAAAAAAAAAAAAAGTTACATGCCTCTCCCCCAACAACCAGCACAAATAAACAACAGTTGCGTACATTTGAAAAACAAGAAAAAAAGGGGGGAGGAGAAGTGAAGGAACAAAAGAAGAGAGAAGAAAAAGAAAAAAAAACAGGTAAACACGTCAGAGAAGCAAACTTCTTGTTGTTTTGAAAGGTACATCACACCCCGTTGACGCATGTGTCTGCACCGAAACCCCCCCCCCCCCCCGTTGTGTCCACTTCGTCCTCACAAAAAACACTACCAACACCACCACCTCCATAAATACTCACGACGGGTGTCACTGTAGACAACAACAACAACAATAATAATAATAATAATATCCGTAAAGATGTGCAATGTATGCATGCATGTAAATATATATATATATTTAATTCTTAAGCCTCCTCTAACATACATTTATATTCCTCCCCTCCCTCCCTCGATATCTATCTATGTATGTATGTATGTTTTCTGTTATTTTCTCTTCTCTTTTTTTTTTTATCTCCCTGTTTTGTTTCCTTTCTGTGTGTGTGTGTGTCACTCCTCGCGTTGAGTAGGCGGTGCCCCTTCACACCACATGTCTTCTCCCCTCTCCCCCTCCTTTTTTTTTTTTTTTTCGGCACCACCATCATTACCGCCTTTCCATTTCATATGTGAACACCCACCACCACCACCACCACCAAAGAGACATTGCGGAAAGGAGACACACAAGAGCACATGCAAACTCCCTTCGTGTGCCAATTCATACATGTGCCCCCTCCCCCTCCCCCCCTTTTTTTATCCAACGTGTGCGTGGCGTCCATAAACATCCCCCTTTCCTTTCGCTTCATCAGCACGACTCACTTTATTTTCATCTGTTCCTGTTGCATTTATTTAAATAAAAAAAAAAAAAAAAAAAAACGGGATGGGGGTAAATTGAAAACATAATTCCTACTTGTAAATGCAGTGGAAGCATGACGTCTCCTCCGCTACCTCCCTCACCTCCGCCTCATCCCCTCATCACTCCCAAAGACTTAAGCTCATTTATATAAATGTAGTGTTTTTTTTTTTCTCATTTCCCCCCCTCCCCCCCTTCCTTTCCCCGTCACAGTCCCCACGGAAATCAATACTTATGCACATACGAACTTCTCCCTTGTTTGTTTGTTTAACAACAACAAAAAAAAGTAAATAAATAAAAATTATTTTTTCCCCGTTATTTTTTCTTCTCACTCTCCCTAACCCCCGTAGTACCACCACCATCACCACCACCACCACCACCCCCTAAAGCAGAATCCTTGCCGGTCCTATTAATTCCCTACAAATACAAAAGGGCCATGCACACACACACACACACATGTACATACATATAAATATACATGTATATTTATATTAACCCCTTTTTTGTGTTTCCCACGTGTGTGCAGCCACGCCAACGACGCATACATAAATATATAATATCATATAATATAATATTTATATATATACATATATGCGTATTGGGTAAATACCCAAGAAAAAAAAAAAAAAAAAGAAGCACACATATCCATCCGCCTATATCACTACCAATAAAACAGGTACACAATACCATTATTTCTATGACCCATATTGCCCCCCCCCCACCCCGGTTCCCTTTTCCTCCTCTTCCTCCTTCTTTCTTCATAACAATAAATATCATCTCAGTTCCCATTTATTACATAAACCAGTTATGTAATAATAATAAATTATTATTATTTTTATTCTTTTTTTTTCGTCCCTATACTAATTGTACTTCTACAATTTCATAGCATCATATATAAATATATATATATATCCATGTGTATGTATTATAGGTGCATGCATGCATACATATGGGATATATAATATAATATAATATAATATTTCGGTACTAATAACAGTCAAAACAGTCATCGTGTGGATGTGTAAACATCCCTTCCATCTTCCCCTTCGGTACACACTCTCTCTCTATTTATATATTTATTTATTTATTTATTTACTTTCCTTTTTTGTTTGTTTTTTCTTTTAGTTCTTTTACCCTTTCGTCTCCCACAGTACTCCCCTCCCCTCCCCTTTCTTTCTTTCCTTCTTTTTCTCTCCTTTGCGGGGCAGTGATGGCCTGGAAACGGATACAAAATAAAATTAAAAATAAAATAAAATAAAAAAAGGAACCATCACACCGTCAGCCAAAAAGAAGAGAAAAGAAAAGAAAAAAAAAAAAGATACCAACAAACCGAGTAAACTGACAAATTACTATCTGAAATGTGAAAAATAAAAATAAAAAAAAAAAAAGTTAGATATATGCATGCATGCATATCTATAGATATATATATACAGATATGAACACAACAAAGAAAGAAAAGCCAAAGCAAAAACAAGGACAAAAATAAAAATAAAAAGAGAGAGAGAAAGAGAGAGAAATATAAAGACGGAAGAACAAACAAACAAACAAACAAAGAACTACATTACAGCAACACAGACTCAACTGGAAATGTCATATATATATATATATATATATATATATGCATGTATGCAGCCGTGTGTAGACATCCCTAAAACGCCCACATAAAGGGCAGAGAAAACAAAAACAAAAAAGAAGGAAAGAAAAAGAAGAAGAGTCACTGATGTGTGAACGAATATGCCTCAACTCCTTTTCATTACAAACCGCTGGGCACATGCAAATATTTCCCCCCCTCCTTTCAGTGCTTTTTTTTTCCTTTATTATTCTCCACAAGTCCTGCCTTCTCCTTTTAATGTTTCATACTTCTTGTATTAAACATTCATTCCCTCACCGCTCCGGTCATTCAACAAAATTGCCATGGCGCATCACCTCTCGGCCGCGGAAAAAAGCGCACCATGTGATTTGGCAGAAGGGAAGACCAGAATACATCGTCCGACATCGTCTCGCTGAGATTGAGGGATTCAAAAAAGACCTTCACAAAGTTTCGATCCTCCACTTGTGGAAAAAGAACAGGCCGAAGACGATGCACACCACCATCAAGGAGGGTCTGCTCCAACTCCGGTAGGGTGGCACCAAATACCTCCTTTGAGCGGGTCGACGCAAGAACGTACACACAGCGCGTCACCACCGGTTGCACCAACTCCATAGAAAGGCCAATGGCAAGAAGTATATTCAATACATAGGCATGAAGGTTCATACCACGTTCATGACTCTGCTCTTTATGCGCCCCTAGCCTCTCCAATGAGGTGTCATGCTCTTCCAACGGCAGAACTCCCAGGGCGGCATTCAAAACAGCGGCCTCATTCTCGTCCTCTCCGCCAAAATCTATTTCACCAAAAAAGTCAAATGCCTGGGAAATGGGATTAAATGTGCAGGATGTCTCCTCATTTGCAGAGAGATCAGAGCCAATAGGCAAAACCTCCTCCTCCTTCTGCTCCTCTTTCTCATTCTTCTCCCCATTTGCTTGTATCCCTGAAGACTCACACACAGTGTGTGTCCTGGCAAGTGAAGCAGGTCCGGCAGGAGCAGTTGAGGAGCATGTTCTCTGAGCCTTCTTCACGGGTATGGAGCTGCAGCACATAACCACACTGTGAATTGAAGACAGACACTCCTCATTTTTGCCCTTCTGAAGATAAAGAAAAGAAAGAAAAAAGTGCGCTAGTAGACGCAGCTGCGTGAGGCGTTGCGTTGTCTCTTCGTCGTCGTCTTCTTCCTCTGTTCCTCCGTGTTTCACCAACGTGTTCACTGTCCTCTTTGGCACTTCTAGCCGAGCAACGCGAAAAATGTGACCGTCCAAGACGCTGAGAAGCGCACGAAGTGAACCCACCGCGTCGTAGAATTTCTCCCCGGTAGCAAAAAAAATCTGGGCGTCGCGTATGGAACTCAGTACCAAAGCCTTTCCCCGTGCAACTGTGGGATCTTGCGGATTTGAGGGTAACGGAAAATTTGATTCAAACCCAAGTGGGACCGCCGTGAATGGAGGCATAAACTGGGGCGAGTTCTTCCCGTCGTGTGACATGGCGCCATCGCTACGCTCATCGTAATTGCTGCCGATGCCCAAACGATTCGGTAATCGCATCTGTTGAGTGGGGTGTGGGTAGGGAGGTGGTGTACGAACGCTTTCACCGGAAACAATGCCATTTCCATGTGTAGCCGATACATGTAAAGGAGGCGTAATCCCTGCAGGTTCCTCATCTGAATTTGAAAGGGATTGTGAACGGTATCCTCCGGCCAATGCGGGGGGACACATCAAGGCTGCGGGACCCTCTTGTGCTTTTGGGTAGTGCCGTGGTGCCGGTGTATGCCAGGTGCCATTGGTATCTCTCACCTCGTAACCACGAGGGGTATAACTGTTTTTATTGCCTATACTTGAAGGAAATTGTGGGTTTCTCTGAGCAGCCATCATTTCGGACTCTTTTCGCTTGAGGTTATAGTAACTATCCACAGCCTCCTTCAGGGTGCGGTAGGCAAAGTTCCCGGAACCAAATATGCATTTCA